AGAGAGAGAGAGAGACAGAGAGAAAGAGAGAGAGAGAGAGAGAGAGAGAGAGAGAGAGAGAGAGAGAGAGAGAGAAAGAGAGAGAGAGAGAAAGAAAGAGAGAGAAAGAGAAAGAGAGAGAGAAGGGATTTCCAATCCTAATCAAATCATCACCCCGTAGTAGCAGCCAAATGTCGGGCACCCATCTCATAGTGAAAGATCAACGAAGCATGAACTGGAATACTACAACTTACATGAACTCGACAATGAGATACTAGAACTAGTGAAAGGCACATGCATATAGGGGAGAGATCAACCTATTATGAACCGGTACATCACAACACACATAAACTTGACGATGAGAAGCTAGAACTAGTGAAAGGCACATGCACATACGGGAGAGATCAACTAATTATGAACCGGTACATCACAACACACATAAACTTGACAATGAGAAGCTAAAACTAGTGAAAGGCACATACACATGGAAGAGAGATCAACTAAGTAAGAACCGAAATATCACAACATACATTACTTGACAATGAGAAGCTAGAACTAGTGAACGACACATACACATGGAGGAGAGATCAACTAAGTGTGAAACGGAACATCCCAACACACATGAACTTGACAATGAGGAGACAGAACTAGTGAAAGGCACCTGCTCATGGAGAAGAGATCAACTAAGTAGAAACCGGAACATCAAAACATATATGAACTTGGCAATGAGATACCTGAATTAGTGAAGGACACATGCAGGACAGATCAACTAAGTATGAACCAGAACACTACAAAGGCACATGAACTTGACAATGAGATACTTCAACTACTGAAAGACATATGCACACGCAGGAAAGATCAACTAAGTACGAACCGGAACATCACAACATACATGAACTTGACAATGAGATACTTGAACTAATGAAGGACACATGCACATGCAGGAAAGATCAACTAAGTAGGACCCTGTACATCACAACACACATGAACTTGACAATGAGATACTTGAACTAATGAAGGACACATGCACATTGAGGAAAGATAAATTAAGTAGGAACCGGAACACTACAACACACATGAGTTCGACAATGAGATACTTGAAATAGTGAAGGACACATGCACATGGAGGAAAAATCAACTAACTAGGAACTGGTACATTACAACACATACGAACTTGATAATGAGATACTTGAATTAATGAAGGACACATGCACATAGAGGAAATATCAACTAAGTAGGAACTGGAACATCACAACATACATGAACTTGATAATGAGATACTTAAACTAGTGAAGGACACATGAACATGGAGAGAAGATCAACAAAGTAAAAACCGAAACATCACAACACATATGAACTTGACAATGAGAAGCTAGAGCTAGTGAAAGGTACATACACATGGAGGAGAGATCAACAACTAAGTATGAACCGGAACATCACAACATACATGAACCTGACAATGAGGAGACAAAATTAGTGAAAGACACTTGCACATAGAGGAGAGATCAACTAAGTAGAAACTGGAACAACACAACATATATGAAGTTCACAATGAAATACTTGAACTAGTGAAGGACACATGCACACAGAGGAAAGATTAACTAAGTATGAACTGGAACACTACAACACACATGAACGTGACAATGAGTTACTTGAACTAGTGAAGGACGCATGCACATGGAGGGAAGATCAACTAAGTAGGAACCAGAATATCACAACATACATGAACTTCATAAAAAGATATTTGAACTAATGAAGGACACATGCACATGGAGGAAATATCAACTAAGTATGAACCGGAACATTACAACAACACACATGAACTTGACAATGAGAAGTTAGAACTAGTGAAAGGCACATACACAAGGAGGAGAGATCAACTAAGTGTGAACCGGAACATCACAACACATATGAACTTGACAATAAGGAGATAGAACTAGTGAAAGGTACTTGCACATGGAAGAGAGATCAACTGAGTAGGAACCGGAACATCACAATATACATGAACTTGACAATGAAAAGTTAGAACTAGTGAAAGGCACATGCACATGGAGGAGAGATCAACGAACCGGTGACATTTGACGTCTTGGACACGGACTTCGTCATCATTTCGGGGATCCTTTGGCTTTGAAGTGCGGATCATATGGTAAACTTCCATTGGGGGATACTCATCATTCGCGACGTCTTTGACACTTAGGTGTCGTGTCCTAACCCTTCGATTCGGTATCAAGTAGTGAAAACCAAGTCGTTTTGGGCCCTTGTGCTTATGAGCAGCCCGACGAGATTGACCTACGCTTTCTCCGAACTGTCGAGATAGCTGACTTTTCACCCACGGACTTGTTTGAAGACTCCAGTGTGGTGCGGTTGCTTGAAGAGTTCGCCAACATCTTCGAGTCTCCTACCAGTGTGGTGTTGGTGTAGGCCCAAACTCTAGTAGACTTTCGAGCCTTGGTCGATCCCACTGCGGGTCCCATTTAGCTCGGTCCGCCCACACTCATGCTCAGGGCGTGGGCCATTCGTCCCAGGGTCACCCCCACCTAGTGCTTTGAGATGAATGGGGGCGGGCCATCACGAGAAAGAGCTTTGACATTGGGGATGTAGCTGAGCCCTCACGCCGGGTGGTAGTCTCGCTGGTCATTCCGCAGCGATGATTTTTTTTTTTTTCTTGGTTGTGTTCTCA